ATCAATTTCGATAGTTTATGAAATAAAAAATGTCGCGTTCTAAAATTTTAATTAAAAGAAAAAAAAGATGACTTGATAACAACTTAAAGTTACTTTACTCATCTGCAGTTCTTCGATCCCGCCTGTTGTTAAACTAACGAGATTTTGCGTATCGCGCGCGAATCTGGAGTAAAATCCTCTTTCGTGCCAAACACAATCGTCGAGGGAACGTGTTCGATTAATCGAGCGACTTCAATTTAACCGTAATTAAATTCAATGAAGCGTAAACGCGCAAACCCGCCAGCAAGTTTCGCTCGAGGAAGATTCGAAACGAGACACCGAGTGCACACGTGGCCAGGACAGATGTCTGCAATGTACACACACGTTACGTTACACATATACATACGCCCACGCGTACTTGGCAAGGGCGCGAATCGTTGCCCAACGCTCGGAGTGTCCTGAATATTTCGGCAAGACGTTATTAAAAAATGCATACGTTATATACGGCTGCGCGTTTATAGTTGGCCCGCACGTTGTGTGTCTACAGATACATCGACATGTTATTAGCGCGAATATGTCGCCGGGATCCATCATACTTTGGCCTCTATATATGTAGGAATAACAAGTAAATCGTTCATCGTCATGTGACCCCCTCAATATTTATACGACTCCCTTCTCTCTTGAGTCCGTTAACCTTTTGCATGAATTCGCGATTGCTAATTATGAAAATTATGGTGAGAAGCGAGCGAAATTAATTAATTAAATATACGTTTAAAATAGATTTGTCAGAGAGACAAAGATCACGTCTCCGACTTGAAAGGGAGATTAACTCGTTTGTCATATTTTCATAAATATACATTTTATAATTGTACATCGCGAAAGTTCAAAAATACGAATGGTGAAAATCCAGCTGGCAAAAAATGTCGCGTGAGATAAAAGAGCGAAGGGTTAAGCGCGCTCGTGAAAGTCCACCCCGAAACGGATTTTTCAGCGTCGTCTGGATCTCGCCAGACTTCTTCCTTATCTGGCCGCGAGCCCAGCCGACCATCTGGACGGCATTATCGGTCGAACTTCCTCCAAGAAAAACGGCTTTGCGAATCTCTTAGATCTCTCTCTTAGAATAAAACGAACGGGTACGTCACTCGCCGTGCTTGCGGATTAATTATCCGCAAGTAGTTATGGACAACGTCAAGCCAGACGACGTAGCGATGCACCTGTTCGTCCACCTTTCACCTTCCACGCCTCTCTTCTCTCTCGGTCGGAGAACAGAGCCAGATGATATTTTGAGAACACGAATATTTCGTCGTGAAGCGCGTGAAAAAAAGAAATTTATGACAAAACTGAATGCTCGGAAAAATATGTAATTTCTACGTAAATATGACTAATGAAAATTTATGTAAAATATTCCTGAATTAGTATACAAACTTTCTTTTTTTTCTACGGATTCTTTAAAGTAAATTTTTGCTTGTGGAATAAAGCATTCAATTTTTAATATTAAATTTATGAAAAATTATTATTTTAATATTATTATTTTAATATTTTAATATTTTAATTTATTTATAAAAAATTATTATTATTATTTTAATATTATATAAAATCTGTTTTCAATTGAATGAAGAAGCTTTATTTGAAATTTAATTCTCAAAGAGAGAGCTCTGCATTTTGACGTGTAACGTAAATCTTATTGATGCCTCGATATTTTCAATCTTTTCTCCGACTGAATAAATCGATCATGATATCTCTAATACGATCAGGTTCTTTAGATTTCACAACCTTTATCCTGATCCGAAATATCCATTAGCGGCTCGCGGATGGGAAACCAGAGTCGTCCTGAGATGAATAATACCTGGCATATATACATACTTGCTATTTTTATACAACATCCACACTCCGCAAGATTTGAACGGAAGAATCGAAAAAATGTATATCTCATGAAATTAGTAGTCGTTTTATAACGTCATAAAACATCATTGAACATAAATATAATTTTAACAAATTATATAACTTTACTAGAATGAGTCTCTTATTTACATATTTGCATTTTTTTACACTGATAATTTCTTACAGATGATCAATGATTTACGTAATGTTAACGAGTGCATTTCTATTACTTTGCATCTCGCGGCAATTTAATGATATGACGTGATATGACAGTAAATCGTGTGTCGGATGTAAAGCTCGAGCCAGGACTCGTCGACGGAGACGCCACGCCGTTTTCCAGAGGCGAGCCTGTTCTCCTCCATGTCGTTGACCTTGATCTAACCCCGAATCCGTAGACGCCTCGCCACTACGTGGTCCGCGACTATCCGGAAACCGGGATGAGGACGGCCCAAGAGCAGTACAGCTATTCGTACACCAACACGTCCAGCTCGTCCAACTCGGATCCGTACAGCAGCCGTCCCCAAAGGAGCAACTATTCCCAGGAAAGCGTCGTCAAGAGAGAGAGCGGCCCGTACGGCTCGTACTCGACCGAGAGGTCGACCAGAACATCATCCGGCGGCGGCCCCGGGAGCTATCGCTCTTCCTACGAGTCCACCACTTCCGGTCGTTTGCCTGGCGGCACCACCTACCGCCATTACTCCTACCGGGTCTAAAATACCACCCCCTCTTCGTCCTCGCCGATCGCACACTTCCATCTTCATCTATGCCGACGACTTTCGAAATTATCTTGCATCGGCGATCCTCCCGGATCCTGTCAAAGACATCGTGTCGGAGATAAATCATACATTTTGGATGTGAAACGCGAGGCAAATCTTCGCGATATCACTTTTTGATGTCTGTTAGCGCTGACGTATTTATAAAAAATTAAAAATACGAACGCAATTTCGCAAGCATCACAAATACATGCTTCTTGGCATCAATAAAAACGGCTTGCGCGAGAAACACGCGGAAGTTGTGTCATTCAGAGAATGCTGGAACAGACATCTCTCGCGATGACAAGGATTTTCTTTCAACGATTACAACAAAGCTAACTCGTGAATCTCGTCGACAGAGATTTTCTTTCAAAAAGGATTGTACAGATCCAGTAACAATAAAAATACATAAAAATATATTGAATCACACACATAAGTAATATTTTTCCGAGATTACTATCGATTTAAATTCGTTTGTTGTTATCATAAAATTATAAAAATTATAAAAATATATATATTATAAAAATTATAATATTATAAAAATTATAAAATTATAAAAATTATTATAATTAGAGAAACGAAAAGTTTCTCAAATGGAAATTTTAGTTTAGATCAGTCGTCGATATCGATGAAATTGGAATATCGTCTTTCTGTCGCCAATTCAGGATCCCCTCTTGTCCTCGCGCCAATTTTGTACGCTTGATTTTAAAAAAAATGTATTTGAAAAAAGAAGAGGAATTTTTTGCGCTTTAAGATGTGCATCAGTGGATCGGCAGAAAAACAATCCCGATATTCTTGAACGATCTTCTATTACAACTCGAATTATCGCTATAATCATAGTCCGAGCCGATGATAGATCATGCAGCTACATTTAGAGATATACTAAAAGCTAGTCGCGCTAATATCGAAGGCAATAAGCTGTTTATCGTGTTGGCATTTTAATCAAGTTTATTAGTTCGCGATAATCGATATAAGCGACACGTTGCAGGTGGTTCTCGATTTACTCGCAAAAATGTATATTCAAATTGGTAAATCTTGAATTTTGAGTTTCTCGGAACTTTTTGCGTAAAAGCAATTACTTTATGTGTCAATTGTATGGAATATTATTGAAAAAATTTCTATCAATTTTATATACATATATATTTTATCTATATGAAAATATTCCTATTTAATCGCGAATCGAAAGTCGCCTGCAAGGATTTTTAAATCTCGCGGATTGTGCAATTGTTTGTGTTTAATTATATATTAGTTCCTCCTATGCCTTCTCCTACCTTGCAGATTATACCTTTTTACTTGGGAATGTTTTAATTTTTCGTATAATGAGTGAGCGTTGCTCATGAACCATATCTTTAGTTTAATGAGTGTCAATCGGGAAGTTTGTGTCAATCCGATATTTCTACAAAGATGCGTCGTCTTACGAGATGTCTATTGCTCTATTGCAATCCATAATCTTGGGAAATAAAAAATATTGATTAATACAATACAAATAAAGAAATACTTTTTGCGTAAGTCGATTAATATTCAAATAAACTACTTGAATGCGATAAAAGAAGAATACGAGATGGCAAAACAAAAAATAATAAAATTTTGTTCATAATTTTCCTTAGAAATTTATCACATTATTTATACTCGTTATATTTGATAAATATTTGATCAAATAAAAATCTTATACGTTAATTTTCGAAATGTAAATCTACCCTTCAAGAATCATATCGGCAATAATTCAAATATCATAGCGACTAATATAATTCCGAAAAGTTTTATTTATATAAGAATTATTGTCTCGTATCCTGAAATTATGGTTACCGTGTGTAACATCATCGCAGGACACTATGAAGAGCTGCTTTCCACAGTAGTCGCTTTCTTCCTGCGAGATGAAGCGAGCTCTACTAATCGTGACTAACAACGATACATTATCATCACCATCAATACTGTCATCGTCATCGTCATCGTCATCATCTCGATAGACACACAACGCGACAATTGGCCAAGTATCGGTAAATCTCAAACATCAAACGGAAAAAAACTCTTCGCGGCATATGAGATCTTCCGCGCCCTCTTTTCTCTCTTTTTCTTCCTCTAATGCCCCTTCTTCTCATCCCTTTTGATCGACCCTCCCGAGACGCAACGAAAGAGCGAATTAAGCAAACGAAATAGCGAAGAAAAAAGCGGGATGAAGAGGAAAAGGAGTGATACGCCACCTGAGTCACTAACCGAGTGTTGTTCTTCTTCTTTTTATTTATTCTGCCTCTCACATGCGACTACTTCTCTTCGTTCTTCGCCACCATCGCCGTCACCATCGCCGTCGCCGCCTTCGTCGTGGGATTTCGACGGATAAAAAATAAAAAAAAATAATCGAAACATCCCTGTGAACGCATAACTGTGCAGTATCGACCCGTCGTCATACCTCTCTCCAGCATCATTCAGGTAGGTATTCTCATCTGCTGCTGATGATGGATTACGATTGATGTGAATTGCGAATGATCAGCTGGCTTTCATCATTAAGAACGTAACAATTTCGATCGTCGATTCTAATTTTCGCGATCGGCTTTCTCATCTTAATTTCGTGTCGGAATTAATGCAAAGAATGCGGCAAATCGAGTACAGCTAATTAATTTCTATTGTTTTTGATTGAAGAAGTAAACAAGCAAATTCGTCTTTACTTGATAGTCGATCTGTCTTCGACCTTGCAATAGTTACAATCTAGTTAAATTTTAAAATATCTCGTTGAAAGTTTTATTGGAGCACAAACAAGAATTTTTCAAAGATTGTTTTAAAGTTTCAGGACTACTGAATCAGATATAGAGTTAATCATTTATTCATCAGAATCGATTGGCATCTTTTCGTACGATTCTATATCAGATTGATATTTTCTTCTTTTGAATAACTAAAAAATGTACTTAAAAATTAATGAAATCAATTATATTTAAAAAATTATAATTTTTTAAAAATAATTATAATGTAGTTTTTATAATTAATCGACTGGCATCTTTTCGTACGATTCTATATCAGATTGATATTTTCTTCTTTTGAATAACTAAAAATTAATGAAATCAATTATATTTAAAAAATTATAATTTTTTAAATATAATTATATTTTTTAAAAATAATTATAATGTAGTTATTATAATTAATTTACAATTTTAAATTTCCGAAACTCATAATTGAAAAATTTTATAAATCTAAGAAAGAAAGAAAGTGTCCATTTGAGTTGCTTGCGTTCGATGACAATTTTTAACATCTCGTTTAATGATAAATATATAATAAAAAAGTATTTATATATTCTCATAATCTTCATATATGTACATATAATTAATCATGTATATTGGATATTATCGCTTCAACGGCAACAGGATGTTACGCAAAACTTGTCGGTAATTTATGGCAAGATTCTTGAAATAGGCATAATGACACGCTTTGCCGCTCTTGCACCTTCTCGCGTTAATTAATTACAGATTTCGAAGTTTACTAATCCTAAAGCGCTACTTCATCGCAGTAATATTCGTCTTCAATATCGTATCGCACGTAATTCAAGGTAATGTAACACACATTGATTAATCTTCCCTGCCACGCTCTTCATTGATACATCGAGCTTAACGCTGTGCGCAACGCTCGTTAACATAATTAAGCATTGAAATCTCTTGTGTATTTGCACATCGATCACATGGTCTGCTCAGAATTGGAGATGTTCATCGAACGCTACGCTTTGCTATTGTCAACTTTTTGGTGACGATAATTTTAACATCAATATAAAATATATTTCATAAATATTGATAAAGTATTTACCTTTTAATCCTTTAGAATAAAAATTTTATTAATTATAAATCTTTGATACAATATGACGTAAATTAGAATTTTTTATTTATAGAATGCCAATTTTTTCAATATGTCATTAAATTTATAAATCCCTTTCATAATGGATTTTTTTTTCTCTAATAATTTGTCTTAATAAAAACTTGGGAGGAGGTTATATATTATTTTTTAATTTTCAATAATAAATATTTCACCAATCATGTGAAATTAATTTTTCTTCTCAACTATTATATAATTAACATGGAAATTGATATCTGTGTCTCGGATTTATTTTAACAATTGTTGAAAACATAAAAATATAAATAAATTCTGCACATCCTCGGTGAAAGTGTACAAATTCACTTGTACAGAACATTAATCGTCATCAAATGGGTTGATCGCCTGGTACCTTGACTTGCACACCGAGCAATCCGCTTCGCAGCTCGCCGCTACCGGGCGATTAGTAAAAACGAAACGTTCGTTGCCTCCAGTTGAGGACCATTCCTTACATGCCATACGTGGCACACAAGAGACTCGTCACCATAGTCCATTCGCCGGTCCATCACGTGTACTATGGTGGCGCGATGGTACCGATAAGGGTGCGGGCGCGTGTGCGACCTAGCGTCCTTGCAGCCGAGCTCAACAGGATACGTGACCTACCGAGACCGTCCACCAAATCCTACATCGAAGAGTACTTAAACTCTCGAGATAACATAGTAAGTCTGGTACAAGATTTAGCCTGATCTCTGTCTCTCGCTCTCTCTCTCTCTCTCTCTCTCTCTCTCTCTCTCTCTCTCTCTCTCTCTCTCTCTCTCTCTCTCTCTCTCTCTCTCTCTCTCTTCTCATGCTTAAACTGGTCTGACATCATAATCATTATGTAATAAGATATCAACATCATTCATTCATGCAATCGTTATCGATGTCATCATCATCGTGATATGTCATCAACGTCCACTTATATCGGATACAGCGAGCGGAATCATTGCAATGATTGAGATATTTGTCTCGTCTTTAATAATAAATAAATTTTAACGCATGCAAAGAAAGGATAAAGATTTTTTAAATCATACATTTCAATTTATTCTCCTGTTTAATGCAAAAAATTAAATTATATTAAATCTGGGGAATAATAAAAATTAACAGTTTCTCTTTCCAACTTTAAAAAATTACATTCTCGCCAAATTACTATGATTATATTGCATGCGAAAGATCCAGCGATTCTTTGATATAGTAACATGTCATATATGTGTTTTCGCAGTTCTTTGACGACGAGGCGAGGGAGATTCGCGCGAGAGTGGATTCCCTTCTGCGACGGGTCCACGTGTTTGTGCCGAGGGCATTAGCAAGGTATCCGATAAAAAGAAAATGATGTGCATTTAATTAGATGATAAATCGAAATCTTTTGGATCGATTTAATCGCTAAAAATTCGTGTCTAATTCTTTAATATAAATTATACCTCGATATATTCTAAAAACAAGAACTATCAAAGTAATTCTCCGATGCAGAGATAAAAATACAAATATCCCTTTTTCTCTGCTTGTCACGACATTTGTTACAACAGTTCTAAAATAAGAACAATTTCGCGATTTCCGCTTTCGAGTCACGGAATAAAGTTCTGGCGCCAAGATAAGCATCTCTTCTCGCATTTTTCAGCGACTTTGCCGAGGAGATCATCCCAGAACGTATGCGCAGCCATGATTATGTTCGCCGGCTGCTCACCGGCCGCAACAACGCGAAGAAGCAGATAGAACACCTGGGCTGGTACGAGGTGCCCGACCGAGGCGCCTTTGGCACCTTGGCATGCGTCAAGTACGTCGCTGGCAAGCCACAATCCATCAGGAAGCCGTATGTCAAGGTCGCGGATCTACGACCGGCTGACATCCGTAACGACGTCAACTTCCTCAGCTACTACAGCAAGAATCGTCAGGCGGCCGCGACTGCCTGTGAGTAATTCACGATGACGGGAACGACAGCGACGACGATAACGACGGGGACCATATTGCGACCCTCGCTTTGATCTTGAAGGGGTTTCTCTTCTTCAAGAACAAAACGTTGTTCGAGAACGATCCCGATTTTGACGAGACATTGTACGAAGCACGTAGTTAGAGACAGAAGACTAACGAGAAAGTGGCGTAGCAAAGAATTCTTCAAAATTGAAGAGAGATGTCTCTTTCATACAATCTTGTGTTTTCCATTATAATATTAATTTATTTATTTAAATATTAAATTTATTTAAATTATTTAATTATTTAAATTATTTAAATTATTTAAATTATTTAAAACGTTTTACGAATAAAATTGAAGTGTGATTTGTAAAAGATAAAAGATATGGAGAAGGGAGATTATTTTTAGAAATTTATTTCAAAAAAAATCTTTCAATTAAGGAAATAAGTTCTGGGAAAAAAGCTACGCTGCGATCTCGTGGCCCGAAGGAAACACGATTTTTTAGTAGATTTGAGAAAATAAAAAACGGCCCCACGACGCCGTTGTGTGCAACTCTCTTTTTGTCTACTTTTTTTTTCGTTCCACCGCCCCCGCCCCCGCCCTCTCGTTTCTCTATTTTTTTATCCCTCTTCTTAGATTGGCTGACACCTCTGGTTTCACACTGTCTGAGAACTTTTGTTTGTGCTGACGAGCACGTGTGTTCCTCTGATATTTTTGCTGTTTTCGTGTTAGTCACACAACAGTTGGTTTTTTCTTACTATTTTCTTTTTGTACGTCTTTTTTTGTCGTGGCTGCATTACTGTTCGATAGTATTGTGTCTAATCGTACAACAGCGTAATCGTGCACACTCACTTGTTCCCCCGCATCCGTTTTTTGTGATTACTCTGTAATACGTTTTCGATCGCGACAGCGCGTTTTTATTATTATTATTATTGTTATTCTGCAGAAAGGACGTGCAATTGAATCGTTCTTCACGGAAAGGGCGTGTGATTTTGTGAAACGTTACTTTTTATTTTATTATTCATGCTTTTTTATACAAAATATTATAAATATTATGAAACAAATGATACATTTTTAAATTTAGCGAACAATTTTATCGAGAAAGTGTAATGAAATTTTTCACTTACTCATAGAAAAATCGAATCATTTTTCCGGAACGATAGATTCAATCATCGACCATACAATTCATCGATTCGGCGGCGGTTTACGATTTTTTACGAATCAACAAACGTATCGCTATTTTTTGTTGCGGTATCGGGCAAGCGAAAAGCACAGAGCAAAACGACACAGTAACAAAAAGACAAACCAAGAGCCAAAAAAAAAATCAAAAGAAACGAAGGAACGAGAGAGAGCAAGACATTTACACGAAGGGGACTCCAGGCGGAATCAAGCGACTGGGATCGCGCGCCGAAAGCAGATTTTTGCGGCGCTCGCGAATAAAAGAGCGAATGGCAGATAGAAGGCAGTGCGGCTTTTTTGAACGTTTCAGGCAAAGGTTGGAGGCAGAAGGTGCCGGAGCTGTATGAGAAGCCGAGCAAAAAGAGCGAAGCCGAGGGAGAGACGGAGGCCGCCGCCGAAGAGTGACTTCGTCATTCATCATCGTACGAATTATGGCCGATACCATCCACTTTTACGTTCCGGAAGTGACGCGTCCACTCGTGGAAGGCTAGATAGGCATTATGCGACGTGTGAAAGCCAGGAGTACGAACCGGAAAAGCAAACCATCTTTTTTAAGGAAAATTTATTCTTCAATTAATTGTAAATGGATCTTGCATCGGAGTCTGAATCATTAAAGTATAAGAGATGAAAGTTGTAAAGCGCTCGATCAATATTTACGAAGAAATAACGAGTCCATCATTTTAAATTGCTCAAAGAAAAGATGTAAAAAATAAGGATAGAAAGAATAATAAAATTTTGTTTCGTAACTAAACTGAATTATATAGATACAAATATAATTTCGTATCTTTGTGAGAAATTGGAATGAATTGTATAAACTTTTATTTTTCAAATAAAATTTTATTCTGGAATTATTGCAGGGACTACATAAATATATCAATTTATCAGCTAGAATAATCTCATTCAATTTTAATATCAACATTTTATTTTCGCTTTTGATTTTGATCGCTGCAATTAAAAGAAAAAAAATTTTAGTTTTAAAATATTCTCCATATATTTCAGCTTTTTCATACCTTTTATATTCGGTTCGTAAACCTGGCAAAAATCTTTCGGAACGGAATTATTTTACCGTGCGCGTTTGCTGGGTTAATCATCGAAAAAATCTAATATCCGTCTCCACTCTTTTTTTATTTTTACTTTCTTCTATTCTAGTCATGCGCTCGTCAACCACTTCATTAAACTCCAATGTGCCGTTATTCGCAATAATCATAGAACGTGCTGTATTTTCTGAGCATCTTTTATTCGATTTTTATTCGATCGGACTTTAATGAAATTGCGACGAGCGAATAAAATCATCGTGACTATCGAAACGTTCGTATTCGATCGATGTGATCTATGAAATGAAACAAATATGAGAGGAGGAACACGGGAGTGCGAGAAAGATATAAAACGAGAGAAACTGATTAAATTGGCACAAGGGAAAAACTCGCACGTGTTTAATGATAAAAAAGAAACACGAAATAAAAATATATTGATATTAACTCAATGTTGCTCGAATTGCGTCGTAATGTCTATTAGTGTCTCGATTTTCTAACTCCTATTCTATTCGGTATTCGCAAGATAACGAAAAAGATACGAATAATATAATAATGTCCGATAGAGAAAGCGGAAGTTCCCAAATCAATTACTTTATCTTGCACGAGAAAGTAATGGAAATAGTAGGCGAGCTACGTAACGAGAATGAATGCACTGTTTTCGAGGTAAGCTTCTTCGTGTGCTTCGTAGTTTAACCAACGACATCGTTTTGCCTCTGAAATCCACTATTTGTGGAATCGATTAAAAGTAATTGAAAATAAATATATACTTTACCGAATAAAATTGTTTTAGAATTTTTCAAGTTTCCTTAAAATATGCTAAAAGCATATGTTGAAATATAAAAGTTCTCTTTATAATATATTTCCTTAAATATAAATTTCAATAGGAATTTAAAAATTTAAGATATGCTTAATATTAAATTAAAACCTTGAATTTTGGTGTACATGTAATTTGATTTAATGATGCAAATTTACATTATAAAAATATTACATATATATATAGTTAGAAAGAATTAAAATATATATAAGAGAGAGAAAGAGAAAAAAATTCATTTAACAGTATCATTTAGTAGAGAAATATTTATTTATAACCATTTGGTTTCAGAGACAGAAATCTGGCAAGTCTATCGCTATATATATCGAGTGTGATCTTTAATCGTATGTCACGCTAATTCGGACCGTGACGCTCAATCATTTTCATCCGAAAAAAACGAGGATTATCTCGTTAATTATCAATTTCATCGAAGTATCCGATAATTCCGCGTCATCGAAAATAAACTTTCTGATTCATTCTTAATCCTTAGAATGCTTCCATCTCGTTAATGACTAATTGTTATAATTTATTCATCGCATATGTGTATGTAAAATTTTATTACTAAATATGTACATAAAATGCGTATGTATTTTATTCTACATGATCTATAATTGACTAACGTGGTGCGTGCTTCATACTTCATTTTCATATGATGCTATATGTCTAATAATCATAGTAACCGTTTTCCATAATGTCGTATAATATTCATAGATTTTCGCGAAGCCTTTATCGCTTTCTTGAATTTAATTAATAAAATTTAAAAAAAATCCTCTGTCATTAATCGATTCTTTACGTTTCATGTACCCTGTACAGCCCCGCGTCAACCAATGACAGAACGAGAGATGCGAAAGGGTCAGTAGGCATACACGAAGTAATCTTTCTTGCGAATAATAAAAGAATAGAGTGCAGTAGAACTTGGACTGTAGACAATCGCGATTGGGAGGACGTTTTGAGAAAGAAATAAACTTTATGTCATTAATTATCGTCGCACGAAACTGGAACATGTAATCAATGTCTTCAAAATTTTACAATTCTATAGTTTCATATTTTATTTATTTTATTTATTAAAATTGCAAAAAAGATCAATATAACTTATATTTATTTAAGGCAAAAAATTAATTAATTATTAATTAACTATTAATTTTGAATGACAAAAATATTTAATATTTGAATATTAATATTTAAAAAGATATGAAAATATCTTGTAAAAATGTCCACAAAATATTATATAAAATTGTAAAAATGTAAAGATTCATAATGTGTTATATAAACTTGTAAATATGTAAATATGTAAATATGTAAATATTCATAATATCTTATATAACATTGTAAATATATAAATATTCATAATATATCATATAAAATGTATCTATTTAATAAGGTTATTTTTAATGAATTCAAAAGGCTTTATAACAATTTAATCGATAAGATTGAATTTCCCTCTAATTTAAATAAGATTCAAATTGCAATCATCATCATCTTGTATTTTTTTAATCGTAGTTTGATTGATGTTCTACTGTGCCCCTCTCTTCTTACATCCCCATGTCTCACGTCTTCTCACAATTTTTAGCACGTGCGTTAGCCATTGAACCGACAGCCCAGGAACAGAAAATAAGTAAGTCTCCGCGGAAAATCATAAAATACGTATCAGTTTTTCGTGTTATTTCTCGTTCATGTTCTATTTGTATTTGCACACATCATAGCCCCCGCTCCGGAATCGGAAGCAAAACCAGAGAAGAAATCAAAAAAGCAGCCCGAGCCGGAGAAGGAACCGGAACCGATACGTGAACCAGTACCAGAACCGGTAAAAGAAACCGAACCCGCATCCGAACCCGTAAAAGAACCGGAACCAGTAGCGGAGCCGCAAACGGAACCAGAAGTGAAACCGTCGAAACCCGTAAAAGGCTCGAAATCTGCGAAATCGACAAAATCCGCAAAAGCGGCCGAGCCTAAAGCAGAACCGACGCCGGAAGCAAAGCCCGTTAAGGAACCAGAACCAGTGAAAGAACCGGAGCCTGTACAGGAATTGGTAAAAGAACCGGTGCCCGTTCCAGAACCAGTAAAAGAACTGGAACCCGAGCCTGCAAAAGAACCAGCGTCCGTTCCAGTTTCAAAACCGGAACCTGAAACTGTAGCAAAACCGGAAACGCCGACCGAAAATGCGAAGGTTGTAAGTGATGAAGCGAAGAAGGAAAATCTCGAACAGGGTACGTTATATTTCTCTATTTTGGACCGGAAATATTCGTTTCGATGGCCGGAAACGAGCTTGTCACGCGAACTGCGGATATCTTTTGGGGTAGGAAAAGGTCGATCGTTAACTTGTGTCATTGTTAACAGCATCTTTTCGTATCGATTGCACGAGGATGAATGTGTTTAGGTAGCGTCCAGAATCCCATTGTTCGTTTTCGTAATAAATGTCTTTCTAAGAATACGATGTGGACATAACTTTGCGGAATGTTGTATATGTCAGCATCTTTCCCGAAATTACTTTGTACAATATAAAGCCTGCAGAGATAGATTTAATCGCGAAGCATAGGTATTCGCATTCATAATATATTTAATATTAAATATTTAATATAAACTGAATTCAATTTCGAAATTGTATCTAAACATTGATAGTATCAGCTTTTATTCGAGCAAGAGATTATAATTTTCTCTTATTTTAATTCATTTAATAAATTCTAGTGGAAAAAATTGTAATTTTTTTTAATTATACAGAGTAGTCAAGATTATTTTTATCAACGAAATTTAAATATTCAGTGAAAAACTGTTTTTAATATTTGGCGGACAAATATATTAAAAATATTATCACAAAAATATAAGCTGAATACATATAAAATTGATATAAAATTATTTAAAATAATTGAATATATGTTATATATTATGTAAGATTATTTCCTTGTTATTGAAATTCTAATTAAATCATTCTGTTACAGTGAAAAAGGATAAAGAAGATGCAATAAAGAGGGCCGAGGAGTATCTTGCTAAAGTAGCTCGAGAAGCGCAGTAAGTCAATTTTATTTAAGAGTGATATATATCAACTGAATGCATTGCGAATGTGGCAATCCTCTAAATTAATCATTAATATATAGATACGAGATAGCATTTTACGTAACATTAGTTTATTGAATTCAGCCAAATACCTTTATATGTGACAACCGAACTGCCAAATTCCTGATTTTCATTAGCAGTTCGTAGAACATAAGTTGATCTAAAATGTTTTGATATAATTAATTAAAAATGTAATTTAATTTTTAAAGCCTATTATATATATATATATGAAAGTAATAAATAATTAGCTTGCGTTTCTCTCGTATATGATTATTATTTTTAAAAATATAGAAGAATAAAAATTATTATTATTAATATTATTGTAATATTATAAATTATGATATATATTAAAATTATCATTTTTTAGTTATACTTCAATTTTAAATTAATAATACTAATATGTCATCAGTGATAATTATAATTCTAAATTCAATAAAAATGTTTTATAGGAGATAATAAAAATAAATCATTCCCAGACCGTATAATAAAAAAGTTTGCACTCATGCGCTTCCAAATTAAAAATTTTATTTTGCACAAAATATGCGAGAAATCCACAAATTGAAAAATCTGGAATGCGACTTTCATTAAAAAAATTTGACAGAGAACTTTTTTTGCACATACATACTTTAATGTGATTCCTCTTAATTAATGAATTTAAATACAACTAATAGCTTAGTTATTTTTTTTTGCGTCAATTTTATCAAGATTTTATCATCCTTCATATAACTTTAATATGGAAAATGCAAATAATTTTGCAGAGATTGAGAGACAAAATTGCAAATTGTTGCGAATAGATGCTTTAAAAAAAATAAATTTATGATAATATTAGATTAAAAAAAAGTTTGATATTAAATTAAATATAAAAATACTATAATCTTTTTTCATCAATTTTGTGTGTGTAAAAAATTTAGACTTCAAATTTTAAATTAAAAAGCTCTTGATATTTTTTTTATAAATATAAAAAATGATTTCTCTTATCAAATAAGTAAGACAAAAGGCTATGAGGATTATGTAATTAGAGAAAATTCTTTGATATATAATGTCAATTTAATATAATATTCTCTTATATTCTATTCCGACATTTGCCTTGTTAGATTCTGGTATTCGTTTTGCGAATTGCGAATAATTTCATTTCAAAGGTCGGAAGAGGAGAGGCGGAAAACTGCAGAGGAGGAACGCCTGCAGCTCGAAATGGAAGAGAGGAAAGCGTGGGAGGCACTACAGCTTGCACAAGAACGGAAAGCCGAGCTTTCCGAGATACTGGAGACCGAACAGCAGGAAGTCGAAAGGAAGGCAGAAGAGGCGAAGCTACAGGCGGAACACGAGGAAAGGGAAAGAATAGAGGAGGGCGAGAGGTGTTTAAAAAAATCATAAATGACGTAGCTTGCTCCTGATTAAGAATAAAAATTTTTTAAAAATTAAAATCACATGTAAATTAAAGAAAATTATGTGTTCTAGAAATATAATAATTATTCGTATATAAATATTAATATATTTTTTAGCACATTCCTAAATAAAAATAGTTTTATATTTAATTAATTAATATTTGCTATTATGTTTATATATTGCACTGCTGGTGTCTAATTTCTGTTGATAGATTAATCAACCAGGAGAAGCTCACAGCTCTTATACAGGAGCAAGAACGGCTGATAGTCGAGGAACATCTTGAGGAAGTTGAGAAGCAGAAACAAAAACAGGAAGAAGTGGTAGATACCGCGCAACTTCCAGTGAGCGAGCTTAACGATATCAGCTGCGCCGAGGATCCGGTGGATCCTGCCGAGATAACCGATCAAGAAAAAGAAGAAAAACTTTACGATGTTACCACAGATGATGAGACACGAGTAAGTAGTCACTTAAAGCATCTTAAGGATATCTACAATTTCCTTTAAATATTATCAATTTTTGTATATTCAATAAAAAATTCCAAGTCATCAATTTTATATCAAAATATACATATATATATATATATATATATATATATATATATATATATATATTTGTAATATTGTAAACATTTTTTAAGATTAGATAATCTTAAGTTCCTATATTTTGTGAAGAGCATTATTTTTTTAAATTAAATATATTTAGTAATTCTCTTTGTCTAATCATATATATACGTCGATAAATTTCCATCGAGAAAGAATTCGAACTTACTTAAGAATAGTTGAAGAGGACGAATTAATTCGCAAGGAATTCGTCTTTCAGGTTGAGGAGGAGATCGTTCCCGAAGAAGAACCCTTGGAAGTAACCGAAAGTCCGTTCGTCGAAGAGCCGGAAGGGGCTGAAAGCAAGACGCAAACGGGGCCGATGGCGGTCGAAGATGAATCACAGGTGGAGGAGGTCACTTCCGGTGGCGAGGAATTCGAATGGGGTGATCAGGACGCGTAATTGGGGTCCGGCCGGTTCGGACCGACTCGCGGCGTCGATGGACTACGTTCCTTTATCGTCATCATTAAATGCTAGGATTTAAAGCGACTTCGTCTATCATTTTCGCGAATTATCATTTAAGCCGTCGTCATCGTAGCTATCCGATCGGCAAAGGAATCTTGATTAAATTTTTTGTAATATCTAATCTGATCTTTTTTTATTTTTATTTTTTCATTAAACATAATTTCACGTTAACTTTCACGTTCCATTAATATACATGTCATTATGAATTTCATTTCGCCTTACGTTATAATTGTATTAAAGTATAACTCGCGTAGATCGATATGAGAGTCTAAAAGTATAGAATTTCAAACGATTATTTTCAATTAATATCAGAAGGGCTGATTGGAGCACTCGTTTGCGGTCTCATGTCATCTGCGCGTATTTATTTTATTACTGACCATATATCCTCCATATTATCCTGTATGGAAGGACGGCAACCGTAGATCGAGTCTGACATGAATATCGATTTCCGTTGGTCTGCCGGTAGTGGGGTGATGATGATTCGTTTATAGTCTCGGATAGTAATCGGGTAGAAATATCGCGACGAATTTTAGCCGTTCATTCGTGCAGTCGAGCTAGCTTCGTCGTCGTCGTCTATTTTTACAGTAACAGGTTTCAGCTCCAACCATGAAATTGATTTGACTGCGATTGTCCGAGCAATCGATTCGGAAGGACGAGGATTCCGGAAATAATCGAGCGAGCACGTTGATAATTAACGACCATCTCGTGACTCCTCGTTGCTCGGAAATGGCAGCTATCATTTTATCTCTAGTGCATTATATATTTATTACAAAAAATAATATTTATTATAAAAGAGTGTGGTAATAACGCAAGTAATCAATATGGAGTTTGCTCTGATTTAACACAAATACATAGAGCTGGAGAAGTTCATCTTTTTCGCGAAAAAGTGTTGTTGGAAAAAAAATTGCGGAGCACGGAATGAAACGGTTATATGAGGATTTTTTTTTTAATTAAAGTTAAATCAGGAATAATCTTAACGTTTTATAAAATTTCCATACCGTTGATACAATAAAACAAAATTGACAAATACAAATTTTCGATAGGAAAAACAAATATACTCTTGCTACCCTTTTATTCCGAAAAACTCCTTGTTTTTTACCGTAAGGGAATTAAACTTAAAATTGTACGTAAATAAGGTTGCACAATCTACTAGGAATAATCGACATCGTTGTGTGCTGTGTATCAGAAAAATAAAAAGGTACTTAAACAAAGATTTAATAAGTAACGTCTTTATCAATATTTAATTTACGTTGCTATATTTAATGCGCACTTGTAATTGGACGTAGCACGCAATGTATACTTACGCAATGCCTATTTTCTTTTACGATTAAATACAATAAAGATTATAAATGTTAAGCAATGATGTGAATTGATTTTACCTCGCATAATAAAATTACAATTAATAAAATATTAAGAATTAGCATAAAATAATATTGAAATTATTATAATCAATATCACATGTACATAATACATGAGTATAATGCAGAATATTTTTTTACCGCTTGACTATTTTTTCTTTTACATTTTTACAATTTTTACAATTTATAATTATAATTAATAATTATAATTATATTTATTAAAATTGTAAAAATGTAATTTATAAAATAATTTATTAAAATAATTAATAGTTATAAAATTACATGATTTAAAAAAATTAATATTTATAAGATAATTTTTTAAATAATAAAAAATATATCAATTATCAACATCAACCTTTTCAGTAAAAAAGAAAAAAAATTGTAATTATAAATTTAAGACTCTAGAGTTCTGTAGAGACGAAACGAAGCTTTTAAAATTTCCGAGTAAACAAGAGAATCTCATTTTCGAGTTTATGTTGACTCATTCGAGTCAACATCCCTTTGAGAAATCTCGCAATCGTTCACCCGCCAAATAATCGACTTGGATGAGACGTCTCCCGAGGAAACGACGTGTTCGGAAGTAGTAAATCGCGACTGCTCGTAAACTTGTTCTCGTCTCGCTTGTGTCAAGTGCATGAAATTTTCGCGGATGTTTTTCGCATCGTGTGTATAAACACACGCGGAGCATTTCGGTCTCTGTCGAGGGCGATCGGCCGAAATGGGCCAAACCGCGTTTGGCTCAAAGAGGGAGACCCGGGAGAAGCGGCTTCAAAGCAAAAACGAGGTTAAATATGTGTGCCAACATACCCCGTCCAGCTGAGAAGCACCGAGGACTTGACTGTAAATGTATGCACGTCATACGTCTACTGTCATTGCACAGAGCTACAGTGGTAATATTGCGGTTCTTACATTAACTGTGGTTGGCTCTGCATAAATGTGCGCGTGTTTGTGCAGATCGAGCCAGCAAAATGCGTCGCTGGAACAAAATTATTTATAATCGAGACGCTTCCATCGCACCGCGCTTAATCAATCTCGGTGCGCGCAAAAAGCTGCCGTTAAATTAACAGATTCCAAAACCAGCGTCAATCCGCAAAGTTTTTTATCGCACGAAAAAGTAGTTGACGATGTTATATAGTAAGCTATCGCGAGCGATATCTACGTCAAATTTCGAGGAAAGTTGCAATTTTTTCAATATGGACCCCATGAACTAACCGGGGACCATGAGGTTTCGGGGAAAGAACTTGTCCGGGCCGTCCGGGTCACGTAAGGCACCTGGGCCGGACAAAATATGAGTCCGCACCCTCGGATTCCTGGGAGATCGCCTGAGGCTACTATTCACAAAGTGCCTCAGGCGTATTCCCCCCACAATGGAAAAGGGCAAAGTTAGTCCTCCTTCCAAAGGCATCGAGACGTCTGAAATATAAAATATCGTATTAATAGATTGTATCGAAGTACGCGGAATGAGAGAGAGAGAAAGAACGCGCGTCGTCGAAGCGCGTTAGGCGAAAAGAGATACGTACCGCGATTAAACGTCTGCGGAACTCATGCTGTCGCTCCACCATTTTATCGGCGATTCGACGTCGCCGTCGCCCGATTCTTCCCACAAGAAGCATGCGTGATCGGAGCGAAGAGACTCCATATCGAACAATCTTCTCAACCAAAAGATATTCATGAAGAGATGCGGGATGCGTCTCTCCCATTTGCGATACACGAGCTTGTCGGTCCACAATAGATCTATGAATTTCCATCGCGCACGTCTCTGCCTCTGCAATCAGCGTCAACGTGGTATATTTATAAAACCCTGCATTTCTACTTCCTCGTCGAACTATAAAATTGTCGCGCGATTAAGAAATATCGTATATTTTTAAAGGTGCGAGAATAAAAAGTTAGTATATTTTTAAAGGTGTGAGAATAAAAAAAACTCGCTCACATTCCAGACTACCGCTATATTCAATATAGCATTTATCAATAGTTTTAAGTAAATGATTTTCCACGTGTTCATCCACTTGGAGGCCAGACAGGATAATGATTCTTGAACGCAGAGTTATCCATCGGTCTCACTAGACACGTCTTAATTGTACGACTTCCAAACTCGTTGTGAGGAAAACAATCCTTTAGCGTTAACTGTCGCGCGATACTGCTATCGTCAGGTATTACATTCGCGCCAAAGGCTAGCGCGATAATATAATGCAGTACAATAAATTCACGATTGCTCCGGAGGAATTTAGGCTAGAAAACAATATTCGCAGACTAGAAAAATATGTGAACCCGAGTCTTTCGTTTTCCGGGCAACTGCTCTAGACCACTGCTATCCAGATCTCACATCTAATGCTGCTTTTTAACACAGTGATATGCGACTTCAGAGCGATGTTGGTATCTCATTCAATTCAATGCCGATTGCCATGGAGGATCCCTGAAAGGTCGCTCGCTGACCAAATAGGTGCCGGTGAAGGTATTAGCGTACATGCTGGCTTCTGACTGGCCTTTCGTATGAAAACGGCACCGACACAACGCTGTAGAGTAACCACATCCCCCAAGATCTCTCTAGTATATACTAAAATTTCCACTGTATATAGCAGTGGCGGATGGACCCTAATATAGGGCCGAGGCAGGCCTCCATCATGTCAAAAGTCTATTCTCATTCGTTACTTTCAAGTAATTTTTTATTCTGATTTTCAATTTTCTGCCGTTTAATTTCGTCGATTTTTCTCAGCATAAGAGATACGGGATATAAATATTTCCAGACACACAAGCTTCTTCGAAATATAAACTCGAGAGCTCGAGTCGCGACCGATTTCTCGACAAATAATCCGAAACATCACCCTGACCTAATTTCTCGCCAAGTTAATAACTCGACGATCGCCCCCAAGAGTCATTCAGCTTGGGAACTGTAAATGTAATAAGACGAATTTCGACGCGCTAATCCTTGGACACGATTAATTGGCGGTCTCGGCCGACGAAAGCTCGAATAGCTTCCGAGCGAGTCCCTCTTTTTTGTCTCAACATTACGGCCTTGACATTTAGTTAAGCCGAACTCATTAATCTGGATGAAGGTTCGTGGGTGTACAGAATGACCCAAAATCGTGAATCACACTTGCAATATTGCTCATTGCGAAATATGACTTAAATCCTTAAAAAAAAGAAAAAAACAACGATACTTTATTATAATATTATAATATATATTTATGTATTATGTATTACATTTTTATCATGTAATCTAAACATTTTCAAGTATTAAGTCGCAAGCTTTCTTTCCGAGGATCACTTACTGCGTCCTTTAACCTTGACGAGGAATTGCGCAACTTTCTTTAAGAGTTGATAACGAGAAAAAGAATATAACGCCCTCGACGACGACGTTGGTGTTATGTCAGTTGCGTCATTATCCGAGATTGAACGTGAGGTTTCTTTTGGAAGTCGAGGAGGAGGAGGAAAAAAGTAAAAGAAGAGAGCGTGGGTGGAAAAATCGCTGGCTGCCACGATCGCGGCTGTGCACTTCGGCAACGAACGAGTCGTTTTCTTTCTCCCGCCGGGAAAAACACGACGATTTTCGTCAACAATTGCCATGTTTACTCCTGTCGCGGCCAAGGGTAACAATGGCAGCCTCCTCCTATCAAATCGCGACGATTTATAGGCAGCAAAGAAATCTTTGCCGATTGTGTCCTGACTTTTGGGGTAAAGAATCGAGAGAAGAAAGAGAGTAACTCGGAGAAACAGTAGATATTTCAGAAATTTGCTCCGATTTGCGCAACATCCGAGTCGCGTAACGTCTGCATTACGCCTGGATAATCTTATTTACTTTCGCTTGACGCGCATTTGTCTGCGATCGATATTATACTTTGATTTTACATATATATAAGGATTCATTGAAAGAGAAAAATAAATATACTCGGCTTTGCTAAAAATAATTAACAATATATTTATATAAATAATTGGTGAAGAATAATTTTCTTCAATCAAATGTTTCATTTATTTCGACTGTTTTTTACAAGAAAAATTGATATATTGAATATAATTAAAAAATTAATCTTCCAAAGCGTCATATTTCATAATTTCATAATGTAAAATAAATCCCGTTTTCTTGATGGCTTCGTGTAATTTACTACATAAAAAAGATAGGAAGGACAGCTGTATGTGTCATCGTCAAACGAATAATCGCTTTAAACGTCCGCATCGCGAGCGTCATAATTTTCGGAAGTGAGCTCCAAGATTAGCGACTATTGACGTCACGATCGCGCGACAATAA